CAATTTTACGAGATTCCTAGTAAGTACGATAGAAGAGATCCCAAACACGGGTCTTGTACAGTCTGAGCATCATTAGATTCGGGAGGGAAACATGACAGCACTTTTTTGAAAAAAGGCGGATCTATTCGTGGACCAATTATGATGACTGATAAAATGAAAGATAAGGCATCGTTTTCCCCGATCGTACCCAAGCATATCTCAAGAGGACAAAGAGAGGACATCATCAGCCCCTCTTGCATAGAGAATACTGGGTTTTGAACAAAAATTAAACATTTCATTATCTTTATCAAATTGTCGGATAAAATGAAGGATTACAATTGTACTAGTCATCACATATAACAGAACGACATAAACACTCCACACATTCCTTGTATCGTGGCATCAAAAAACCAGGTTTTGGCAAACAATCGTTTGAATCAGGTAACGAAGTAAGTTCAACCATTCAGCTTATTATCCTGCTGGAGGGTGTCAAATGGTTTACTATCCTGCATTGAATTATGCTGGGATTTTGGAATACCAAACGACAAAATTACCGCCTAACTCATTCTCTACCAGCATCGCACACAAGCAACATGGCCTAAAGTGATAAGGAGTTGCACCAAATGAAATGAAGTAGTGGAGACTGTGTATTGGTCCAATAAAATCGTTCATGCAAAACAGTAAATAAAAATAGCAATTTCTGCATTCCAACAAGAATCAGACGTACACTCAATTCGGTCCCTCTCCGAACTAATACTGGCGATCCTATTTTGCAGCTGATCAGTCTTTCTGAGCAGCCGAAATTCCAGGGGTTCATCCATCATTGCAAGTGGGTCACCATCCTGGTGTTGAAATTCAATTGATCGTAGTACCTCCAGTTCTCTCTTAATCTCATCGTAATCGTATTTACCCCGGAGTTCTGCCTGAGCTGAGGCTAAAGACTCATTGGCTGACACCAGGGCCGAATTTGTCGACTCAAGACGCTCGTGGAGATTCGCAATCTCCGCCTTAAACTGTGTTTCCATCTCCTGCAGCTGAGACTTAAGTTTGTCAACCTAGGCATCAGTAAGAAACCGTGCTACTTATTATTAATAAATAGAGCCATTAAGACAACTGATTTTTACACACTTCCGCCGTCTTGGCCTCAAGCTCGGATTCCAGCTCTTCAATGCGGTTCTGGAGTTCAGTAGTTTCTTTGCAATTGGAGGGATGAGTACCTTCTTTTATCTTTTCTGCATCAGCCTCTGCTGCTCGAGCTTCCTCCAGGGCCACGATCGTCTAAGAGAAGTAAAATGAACATTAGTTTTCCATTCATGAATATCTCTGTTTTGAACAGTTAAGGTATTAACGACAACAGAATTCAAAAGAAACTAAACGATACAATGCGGGGGGGGGTACATTCATGATAAATTAAAAAGTGAAAATCAACGATTTTTAGACGGTACGTTTCGAATGTTTTCAAGATGATAATTACAAAAACTCACATCATTGGCCTTTTCCAGCTCGTCGAGGAGAGTCTGTACTTGCTGGGAACTAGATAAAGAAGACGTGAGTGGGAAGATTGAGATGCTGCTTACTTTGCTGCTTTAAGCTCTTTAAGGTCTGTCTCCAGATCAAATGCATGAGATTCAGCATCCTTCAAGGCTGGAAGGCAAGAGGAACAAAAAGTCAACGCCAATGAAAGTACTAGCATTCCGTATCATTTCAAAGTAACTTTAAAAAGCGCAAATGTAAAAACTGGTACGACTTTCTGAAAACATTCACGAGACAGTCGAGATCAATTGCATTACACAATAAAGCTACGCTGAAGCAAATGATGGTCATGACTGCGCACGGTAGAATTATGAACCTCTCTGCCAAAATCAAAGAGCTTCATGTTCCCTAAGATAAAAGTAAACGAAGGAATAGCCTGCGAACTGAAACGACAATTCTTCGCATCCGACTTTTCAAATAAAACAAACAAAAAACAAAACAAAAGCAATTCCCTTTTGCAATAAGGAATAGAGTCAGAGCTTTGGTAATAAGACTTTAAAATTTTCCCCTCCAGCCACAAAGAAAGACGCAACATTGCCCAAAAGCGGAGACAACGAGTAGACTAGAAGAAAGTGCACTTATATGGGGACAAGAGAAGCATTACCATCGAATAGATACTTGACCTGCGCCTCGGCTTCGGAGGAGCGATTGTTGGCTTCATCGAGGAGGGCTTGCAACTTCCGTTCCCGCTCTTTCCATCTCTCCTCCGCCTGTGCGTCTCTTCCCTTCCTCTTCTTCTCCTCCACATCTTCCGCCTCCACTATCCCTTCCTCCTCCTCATCCTTCCGCAAAGGCGGTTCTGCATCAGACGGAGAGGCTAAGATAAAACAAATTTAAAACAAGAGATTATGCAGCATTGTAATTAAAGTTGTGTTATTATAGGCTCCTGAAAGAACAGAGATGCTATGGAAAGAAAAACCTCTCAATCAATATTCCTCAGCGAGCAGAAAGGACGCATAGGAATTTTGTAAAATGACGAAAATAGACTCTGTATGTGATTGGAGCAGGGAACTTGATACCAACGTAACAGAAGTAGTTTCTTTGTGAACATGCAAAGATGGCCAAAAATATGGGAGAAAGCTAAACAGTGGCGGGCTAATAAGCCTTGAGCAATGCTACAAATAATTAAATCAAACGTTAATCCTTTACCACTGGACCTTCTTCATGGATCGGAAGTAAGCTGATGTATTGCGCAGGCTTGCGAAGGCAGGAGCGGAATCAAGACCTAGGCGGAGGATAATTTCCCAACCAATTCATCGTGAAGCAGAACAACCTGGCTCACGGGAGAAACTAACCTCTTGGTAGGTTAATTTTTATGGGAAGACGCAAGTCAAAGAGAAGAAACATTTAAGAAGTGAGGTGGTTACACAGGAAATTACTTTCGATAGGTAGAAGGGAATCATTTTATTTGCTCTTTGAACTAGCGGACTGGATTTTTCCCCTCGGTAATACCACCAGTGACAATTTTCGCGTTTGATCACATTAATCTAAGAATGTTGGACAAACATGAAGGACCAGTCACTCACCGATTAAACCACCGAATTTTAAGCAATGAGGGGCATCAACATGTCTTATGGTTACACTATCGTTCCATTCACAAACCTCTAGCTTTGTAAATATGAGATTCAGCAATAAACTGATAATCCAGTCATTACAGGTTTGGCGATTATCAATCCTCAAAACAGACAGCCATGTAAAATTAACTCTAGTGAATGAAACATGTTAAAGCAATCGACAAATGTGCATATAAGTGTCCAGATTTCTGAGACGGCGGGTTGAGATGATATACTCGGAAGACGTCCTTATTATACACGCTTCTCTTCCGTACGCAAGCGTCTGCTGCCAAGATGGCTGTGAATTCGAGTCAAAATTAGGTGGAATCTACTTTTTTTTTAAAGAGTTCGGATCTAAGATGGGGAAAGATTTTCGACTGAAATAATCAGCTACAAAGGGAGACAGAAAATACCTTCAGTAACAATCGAATAAATAAGAAACGGCTTTTACCAGGCACACAGAGTGAGCATTGCTGGACTTTAAATATATCTTTACGAATGATAGCCACGTATTTCAAAAGACAGCCCAGTAAATTTGTTTTCAATGGCAAAAAATTAAAATTACTTCAAATACTTCATGAGATAAAAAAGCCACTTATATACCCCGCCATCG